TCAACCATTATTTATCCACTTACCCAGGACTGAAATCTTGGACCTTTATGACCCATCATTCCCCTTCAATCAATTCCAGATTTCTTTGCTCATATTATATTTGATCATCTATTATTATAATTATGAAATGTCTCCCTTTTTTCCTGAAGTGCCATTGCTTTCCAGTGGCCTCTTATGTAAATGTTTATATCCCCAGGATACTGTCCTCAGGTTAGTTCTTACAGAAGAGTTTCTTACTCTACATGTTCCATAGCTAATCTCATCTACTCACATTATTTCATCTATCATCTAAATGCCAACACTTCCCAAATCTGGAAATATGAATTTCCTCTCCTGAGCAACAGATCCATATACAATACTGCTAATGTAGTATCTTAACCTGGAGGACACCCAGGCATCTTCAACTCAGAGCATCTAGTACCAAGTTCATTCCTCTCCCCTACAAATCTGTTCCTCCTTGCAATTTTCCAAATCATGAATCTTAAATTCACCCTTGATTATTCCTTTCACTCACTAACCACATTTTTTTCCACCAAATCCTGTCCATTTAAATTATTTTTCATTCTGTTTCTCTCACTCCATTTCCTCTGTCCCTATCTTTCTTCTTTCTTTACTCTTACAGTTTCCTGTCTCCTTACTTGGCAGTCCCAGGACTGCTCTAAAACTATCCTCTACAATGGAACCACACTGCTCCTGTAAAATAGAAATCTGTATCCTACTACTGCTTTAATTCCACAGTTGGCACCCACTGCCTTTACCCCGAAACCTACCTCCTGATCCATCCTTCATCCTTCAGTCTTCTCCTCCTGAATGCTTTACAGAGGATTCCTGAACTACTTGCTTTACTTTGAATGAAGCTACCTTTTCACATTTCTAGTACCATCTACTTTTCACGTTCTGCTTCAGTTATTTTCAAGATTAAGACTTAATGTTATCTATTTGGAAGGTATTTCTCCTAATGCTTTCTCCCTTCTCCTTTTGTATTGAGTTCTTTTTTTTTCCAACTGTATTTTAAACCAATATATCAGTACCAATTTAACCTCTTGTTTATATACATCATCTATACCCTGAGGATAAATATAATAATAACCATGATAATATTTTATTTACATTTATTAACACTTGGTACGTGTCAGGCAATGTTTTAAGTTCTTTATGCACGTTTACTAACTTAGTCCTCAGAAACATCTCCGTCCCCGGGGTAGTGTTATCAACCTTTATTTTACAGGTTAACCCAGAAGGTTAAGTAAGTTGCCTAAGGTCTAACAGAGTTGAGATTAAAATTCAAAGTCTGGTTCTGAAACCTATGTTCTTAACTACGCTCGATACTGCCTTTTGCAAATGCCTTACCGATTTGACGTCTATCAGATAGAAGGTGGGCCCAGTAATGACAGCAGGTTCACTCCAGCTGATGTTGATGCTAAAAGGTGATGTTGCTACTACATACACATTTTCAGGAGGGCCGTCTGGAGCTATGCAAATAGAAAAAAATCAATTACTTTGCTACATGTAAGCTAGCATTTGCCACAGTACAATGATAGAAAAGACCATAAAAAGATAATCATAATGAATTAATTATACATTAATTTATAGTTCACAGCATGCCAAAAGGCATTTGCAAATCAAAAGATGTAATTTCTTTCAAAATAATTACTATACATAAAGAACTTCCACATGAGAAATTAATGATTTTTAAACTCAAAATAACATTTTGAAAAAGAAACCATTACTATTGCTAAAGTAAATCTTTTTAAACAAATAAATATTTTTATTTTTAAAAAGTTAGACTAACAACGTTGTTTTAAGAAAACTTGCAGACACATATTTGCCTACAGAAAAGTGAAACTGGTTCAGGTGAATTATATTTAAAATTTATTGTCTTACAAATGTAAATTGGCTTGGTTTTGATTTCCCTGAGGTGGTAGCACAGGAAATAAATTATACAACTGATCTGATTATTACAAATGTAAATATTTCCTGAATTCATTAAGATTCCAAAAAAATTGTTTAATTTGTCTTACTTTTATTATTGTCTTTTCATCAAGAGTACAAAATAAGAGTCAATATTTTAGGGAACCAAGTGCTGAAAACCCTTGTTTAAATTTCAATTTGTGAAGCTACCAGGAATTAGAACAGTTTTCAGTATGTTAAGAAGGATTGAGTCACAATTAATTCGACACAGACATTGACCTAGAAACACTTAGGTCACACCTCTCTGTCCTAGTGTGGCCCTTTGTCAATTCCAGGGACATTAAATATTAGGAGATTAGTATTTCCCAGTATTTCTGATTTTTAAATCCACATGAACAAATATTACTAAACAATATTATTCCATAGATCCCAAGAAGGTGTAAAGAAGATACAATATTCCTTTTCTCAAATCATTTATAAGAGCAGTAAGTTGTGTGATCTGGGTCAAACAACAAAACTGCGGGACCTCAGTTTCCTCCTTGTGCGCACATTTCACAGTTAAAAAGAATTACAAACACATAATGTGTGAAAGTGGCCGGTTAGCTTAGTGTTTGGCCCGTTTTTTGTCAATTAATGCAAACTATTACAATAAAGGGCAAAGTAAAGATAAGAACTAATTGGAAACATAAATAATCTATCATGACAAGGCAGAGGATGAAGTGGTGGGTCTGGGTGGGCGGGGAGTCAAGGTAAAGTTGCAGAGAGGAGATGGAGACTGAAGAGGCTTTGAAACATGAGAAGGATTTCAATAATCAGAAGGCTGGCTTGGGGGCACTTCTTTGCTAAGAGGGTTATACGCAAAGCCACAAAGACATAAACAACAGGGTCCGCCGACAGACAGAATTTTATTTCTGCAGAATGGCTTTCCATGGTAATCTTACGTTTATTATTTTATACACTCGACACTATTACTCGAGGAAGGGGTCCACACACTTTACCAAACTGTCAGAGGAATCCATGGTACAAAAAAAAATATTCAGAATCCCTAAATTCAAGGAACAGAGACATCAAAGGCCAGCATGCACGGAGGGACAGAGTAGGCAACAAGCCTCAAGGAGTCACTGAGGAATTAAGTTAGGCACTTGATTTTTATGTTAAAGGGTTTGAGGTTCATTCTTTAAACAGTGGGATGACACTGAAAGTTTTGAATAGGGAAGTATTTTTCTAAAGATTTAGGAAGAAGTCTCAGATTGCTATGAAATAGGCAAGTGCTCGGAAGCACTGAGTCCAGATAGGCTACTTCCTGAAAGCCAGCTGACATCTGATGATCCTCAAGCAGCACAGTGACAGTCGGGAGAGACTGGAGGAGATAAATCCCACAGTCATTTAGAAAATGTTAATAAAATGGACTTAAGCACTTATTAAACATGACATAGAGGATGTAGTAAAGGCTAATTCATGTATGAATCCTGGGAGAGTGTTGACAGAGCAACGGCAGCACATTCAGGGACAGTTACTAGGTTGGGTAGCGGTTAGGCTATGGCAGGAGATGATAAATTTGGACCTGTGATCATGAAACCTGAGATACTCACAAGGATGGAGATGCCTACCTGGCAACTGGAAAGATGAACCTAGAACTAGGAACACAGGTCGAGATGGAAAAGGGTTTAAAATTTTTTCAGATAATTCTTTACAAATTGGGATAGTATAAATACAGCAAGTGTATCTGATTCAGGTGAGTCACATGCTCTGAAGAAAGCCAAAAGGTTTATCTCAACAGCAGGTACGTATTTAAGATGTTAATACTAGTGACAGTCTTTGAACTATGAATGAGTTATTGGTATTAGAATGTTTCCAAGAGCGATGATATTATGTGTTTTGGATTTGGGATGCCCAATTTAGCCCATAAAAATATATTGTAAGAGTAGGCTTGAAATAACTTAAAGTAGTACTCAAATATCACTATAGAGGTATCTAGCAAATACATATGAGAAAGTTTCTGTGGGAAAATGCCTTTGGGGTGACAAACATTCTTCCTGCTTGAACCTTTTCTGACTTTTGTGCAGACCTCTGAACACTGACTCAGAGATCCAGTCCATACGTCATCCAGAGGAGAGCAGGGAGGGGATGTTCCAGGATTCAGAGTTGTGATAAGCTGGGAGGTGTTAATAATGTTGACAAAATTGGGTACATGATTTCTCTGGTGACTACTATAGAAAAGGTCATGGAATTTCAGCACTTAAACAAACGCTGCATATCCTGAGATGATCGGTCTTATTCTAATTTTATGATCCTAGATTTATGAAAACTGTCTCAAATTGTAGCGTAATTCACTTAGATACAAATGAGAACCATGAGAGGTCTCCTGCCACCAATATAATTAAGTGCTTTTGGAGGGCCTCACAGAATAACTCTATACTCTTTCCTTTCCAAACTGGATATTGAGATGTTCAGGATCAGGTACACCATGACTGATCATTATTATGTATGTGCCTATGGAGAAAACAGCTTTGAAAAATCAAAGATGTTTTGTGGGTTCCAATGGCCTATCTCCTGCCTTTGACTCTGTAAAAGGAGATGGGCTAGAAGCTAAGTAGAACTTTACATTAAGGCATTTATTAATTTTAATAATATTCTAGTTATTTACCATTTATGAATATTTTTGCCAAAGCTGCCTTCTAGCTCTGTAAGAACCATTGTGGAGACAAAGAATTTTCTGACAGGCCACACATTTCAGGTGGTATGAGACAGGAAACTATTTTAGCCTACCTTTCTCTTTATTTCTACCCGAATGTTCTGTTGGCTTCTCAGTGAAATTGGTGCATTTATCCAATCAGTAAATATTTATAGAGCATCTTCTATGTGCCAGGGGCTGAGAAAGTGATCAGGTCTATAGAAATGATCAAGGTTGGTGTGGTCCTATCCATATAGAGCTTCAGGAACATCTCATACAAGTAAATGACATACTCTGTTAGGAAGTGGTATGCACCACAATAAAAGAAAATGAAGCAAGATAATTAAAATGGGAATGTGGATAAGAGTTACTATTTTAAAAAATATGGTGGTCAGAATATGCCTCTCTAAACAGATGACATTTAAACAAAGATGCAAAGGAGGCAGAGGAACATGGGGATGTTTGAAGAGTGTCACAGGGAGATGGCCATGAGACAGGACTATGTCTGCTGTGTTCTAGGGATAACAAGGGCTTCGGTGAGGCTGGACCCAAGTAAGTCAGAATGAGAGTTAAGAGAGAAAATGGGGCCAGACTGTGTAGGACCTTTAATGCCACTGCTAAGATCTCTGTAAGAACTGCTATCAGACAAAAAGACAAATGCCACAGTTTATTACCCTGAACTAGAAGGGACCTCTGTAGATTTTGATGCGTGGTATCTAACTCATGCCAGGAAGACGGCTCAAAAGTAATTAGATCAAAAGAGGGCAGATTACCTTTAGAATCTGATTCTTATACCTCTGTAAATGTACCAACCCAAGAGCTGTCAAAAGTACACTTGTAAACCTAACCCATTCTAGCAGACAGGCAAGATGGTACATTACTGTTGCCCAGATACCACGGACAGCTTACTGAGAATTTTCTATGATAAGAAAATTGGTAAGATTTTTCCGTGACTATGTTGATGGGAGCTTGTTTCTAGAAATACTTCCTGGGAATATTCTTCTATGTCTGTGTCTTCCCTGCTCTGTCCTTTGGATCCTCGGGGGCTCAGGTGAGGACAGATCCAAAACCATTTCCCAAGGGAAACCTCGGCTAGTCTGGCAAGTATTTCTCCTCAGAAAGCAGGACGATGCCTTACTTCAGCTTCTCATCTTTCACAGGAAAATGTTAACCCTGCAGTCATTCCTTTAATACCAGCAATCAAAGCCCTCATCGGGGAGTATTTGCTACCCCAAGCAGAGCTGAGTGAAAAAAGACATTTAAAGATCACTCATGGCACATACTAACCACTTGAAATAACTAAATATTTTAAGTTCTATACACTAACCAGCCATTAGAAAAAGGCAAAGTATTTAGCCCCTCACTGAGCTGTGCTTTAATGCCATTTCTTGAACTTTCCTAAAGTTGTTTTTTTTAAGAAACACTCTAACACCTGCATTTTTAGTAAATCTTGATGCAATTGCTTGTTTTGTTACATAAGTGTTCCCTGTGTTAAATCCTTTATGAAATATTTTTCTTAGAACATACTATATTAATCAATATTCTTGAACAATTATAATGTGATGGAATAAGGACTTCTAAATCTAAACTAAAAAAAAAGCAAACACATAACTAAACTGATACATGAGTAGATTATATGCACATAATATATGACTGAATAGAATATATATTTCATCTGTATAAAGCAATGAAAGATAATCATTTGATTAACTCATGAGTATTTTAAGAGGAATATATAGAACACCAAAATACTCAAAGTATATTATAAAACAGCATCTAATTATTTTAATAGTCAAATATTATAGTATACTTTTAAGCAAATAGCATTTTCAAGTTTCTTTTAGGTAATTTTCTCTTGGAATTTATCAAAATCCCAAGTGCATAATA